ATCTTTCTTCAAAACCGTTGGGCCAGTAAAAATGAAACTATTGTGGAAGCATCCTCAGGTAGTGTAGATTCAAGTTTTTTTTCAAATCATGACCCCCGAGGATAGGGAGGGGCCACAATGGCTAATCAAAGTTTAACACAGGAATATATAGGAAAAATCTTTTAAAAATCTTCTTCTCAAGATCAGCAAAGCTATAATTGGTGATATTAATATGGAAACATCCTCAGGTAGAGTTAATTCAAGTTTGTTCATATCATGACCACTGGGGGTAAGGTGGGGCCATAATGGACAATCAAATCTTTACATAGAAATATATAAGAAAAATCTTTAAAACTCTTCTTCTCAAGTATGGCGAAATTATACATGTATGCTTTATTGATATAGTGGCATCCTCAAGTAATAAAAAATTCAAACCTCCCCTCCCCCAACAGGTAAACTTTTCAAAACTGAGCTGATTTGTGTTTTTTAACTAGCCCATGTACTCAGGTGAGCAATGTAGCCCATGGGCCTCTTATTAGAGTAGGTTAAGGTTTGTGGACCAGGTTAAAGTTTTTGGAGCAAGTTTCATTTCCAATTTTTAACTATAAGCCCTATCTTGACCAAACTTGCATGGATGATACGTACATCTAAGGATCGATGCACACTACCAGTCTTGCTTCGAATGTTAATTGGATCTGATCTTCTAGCTTTTTTCCAGATGAGTGTCCAGGTTTATTCTAATGTAATATTGCTGTACTTGACCAAGCTTGCATGGCTGATGATATATCTAGGGATGCACACTACCAGGCTTGCTTTGGATGCTAAATTTGACGTACATTTTATAGATGAGTAACCAGGTGTTTTTGTCCATAACCAAGAAAATAATTGATAACCAAGAAGGCCTATCTAAACCAAGCTTGCATGGATAAACATGAAGGGATGAACACTTTCAAACTTAATTCAGATGTTGGATTTGAAGTACATTTTCCTGATGAGTTACTGGTTTCAAGTTTTCGGATAAGTCGATTCCTAAGTTATTGGAAGCCCTATCAGATTAAACTGCATAAATGTTGCATTTGGGATTTATACTTCTAGATAATGTGGGACTTTGCCCCACTTAAAGACAACATTCATTGAGGTGATCTCTGTGATATCTGATTATCTATGTTTATTTGTGTGTGATCATTGCATCCAGCTGTAAAGGATACCAGTTTACTTTTGGGATGAGAAAGGGATCATATGGGATGAGCCAGAGATCTCATTTCAGAGGATATTTAATTTCTTTCATCTTGAATCCATAGATAAACTGTTGGTTGAAGAAAAAATATAATTCTAAAATCCCAGTACAGTAATTTTAAGTATTTAACATATATAGTTAATATGAAATGATTAATTTTATTCACCACCACAGTACTAATTGTATGTACATGTATGGCACTTGCACGCATGATTTTGTAGAAGCATGCTAAACCTAATAATTAAACCCTTCGTTTTTGTTTCCAGAAATCCTCTGCGGCTCCACTCTATTACATCTCCTACGCATTTGCCTGGGTTGGTGCTGCAAGTCTAAGTAAGTTGCAGTTATTCTCTAGATAAAAAAAAGCAACAGAAAAACCTCTGGCTGCACATGGATCCAGTATCAATTAGTTTATTACTATTCAAATATTGACAGCTGAGGTTGAGGGCATACATTTAAGCCCTCAAGGCATGATGCCTGATGCTGATCGTTTTTGCTCCTAAAGACAGTCAATAATTGTTTAGGAAAAGTAAATCAAATTTAAACCAGAAGTCTCTGTTGAGACTGTAGCTCTACTGGTTTATACTTAAAACAAAGGAAGAGAAAAGTAGCAGTTGGGACTTGAGACTTTAAATCAGTAATAAATATAAAACTGATCCTTGCCACTTATCAAAATAAAAACCGATGCACAGAATTATGTATCTTAGTATAGTCTACTTGTGTGCCAAGTTATACTGAAATCGGACCAAAACTGCAGGAGGAGTAGCATTTTGAAAGAATTTCACAAAAATTTCTATTTTTAGTAACCATGGCAACACCGTTCATTGAAATCAAAAACCGATGCACAGAATTATGTATCTTAGTGTAGTCTACTTGTTTGCCAAGTTATATCAAAATCAGACCAAAACTGTAGGAGGAGTAGCATTTTGAAAGAATTTCACAGAAATTTCTAATTTTAGTAACCACGGCAACACCGTTTATCGAAATCAAAAACCGATGCACAGAATTATGTATCTTAGAGTAGTCTACTTGTGTGCCAAGTTATATTGAAATTGGACCAAATCTGTAGGAGGAGTAGCTTTTTGTATTAAATTCTATTTAATTTCTTTTTTTAGTATCCATTTCTTCAGCATTCATGTTAATCAAAAACCGATGCACAGAATTATGTATCTTAGTGTAGTCTACTTGTGTGCCAAGTTATATTGAAATCGGACCAAAACTGTAGAAGGAGTAGCATTTTGAAAAATTGTTTACAGACAGACAGACAGACGGACGGACGACGGACGCATTACTATTGCATAAGCTCTTCTGGTCTCTGACCAGTAGAGCTAAAAACGGGTTTATAGATGACCAGAGAGTTACTGTGCCACCCATAGGAAAAAATTTGCATTTATTTTATTGCACACAAGAAAGTGTGCTGTTTCTCAGTTTATTTCTCCATATATTTTAAAAAAATGTCATCTTGGTTTATCGATCACTAACTGTGTGTTTCTAACATAACACTTTTACTGTGTGTTTCTAACATAACGCTTTTACTATTTCCACAACAAAATATTCTCCATAATAATTGTTAAAAGTACTTGGACACAGATTTGAAGTTATTATTTTTTCTATAATATTACGACATATATTTTAATAGCATTTCACACAAAAATTAATTAAAAATCTTATTTCGTTTAAAAGATATTGAAATTTCAAATTTTTCGGCGGGTTTGATTGACATATCCTTGCACTCTCACAAATTTAATTTTATTCTTAATCCTTAGGAAAAGTGGCAATCTCGTTTCGTATAAATGAAAAAAATTAATACTATAATCCAGAAAATTCAGAGTAGACACGTTCGAAAGCAAAACAAACACACAATATATTGTCAGTCCGTGCAGTTGTGGTAAGCAGACTGTGACGATTGAACGCACCCAGTGAATTCTAAATATAAACAATAACAGAACTCGAGCCCTGTTTACAAAAACTGTGTACATAACACGAGTGTGCTCGATTTGCTAAACTCTGTACGCATCTCTTAGTTCGGAATGACGATACTTGTGAAGGCGTTTTGCTTTCTAACATTTCTACTCTGAATAAAATTATTTTTCTTGATAAAAGTTTTAATATTTCTCATTAAAACACATCAAAATTGCCACTTTTCCTAAGGATTAAGAATAAAGTTAAAATTTGTGAAAGTGCAAGGATGTGTCAATCAAACCCGCCAAAAATTTTAAAGTTTTTATAACTTTTAAACGAAATAAGATTTTTAATTAATTTTTGTGTGAAATGCTAATAAAATATATAATTCGTGATATTATACAGAAAAAATGAGAAAATATTAACTTCAAATCTGTGTCCAAGTACCTTTAATAGCCCTCTTGGGTGTGAAATCGGGACCACTGAAGACTGCTAACCTCGACCATTTGTTTCAGTTTTCTTCTGCCTGATGCTGCCTTTCTGGGTGATCAATGCAGTGAAGCCAACGTGTGTGCTGGACATGAGGACCAGGGAGGGTGTGTGTTATGAACCAGTCAAGTGCTGCTCCTGTATGTGGCACGTCTAGACAACTGGACACCCATTACTCCATATTGCCCTTGAACTGTATTCACGAATCAAACAAAAAATTTTGTTCTACTTATTCCTATTTGTACAAAATTTAAATTTTCCTTTGATCTAGGTAAGGTACAACATATTTTGGAGATTTATGACTGTTGATAAAATGCCTTTTTCATTGTAGCTCTTTAGCGTAGTACATAAGCAAGTTTCATACAATATTGAAGGACTGATGTTTAAAACTTGCTCTAGCTGGTCTGTTAAGCTATTCAATTGTCTTCAGGGGGAAATAAACAACAAAATGAAGCCATATTACAATCATAGACACTAGTATGGACATTCTGGCTTAAACCATATATGCAATGTAATTTTGCAAGATGATATACCTTTGCATAGAGAATGTTGATTTTTTTAGGCATGTCATGTTATATTTTTTTTTTTTAGACTTTATACATGTATATACATATAACTTGATTTATTTCTTTGAATTTCTACCTACTGTTGTCTTCTGATTCATATCATCAATCTTTGTATTTATGTCAGCTGGTCTGACACACACAAATATATTGTTCAAATACTCTATCATTCCAGAATGATTATGTAAAAATATGCTAATCATTATATTTTCTTTTAATGAGCTATTGTTAATACTTGTCTATATATCATAACATTTGTTAATTTTTCATACATGTATAAATAACCAATAATCATTTTAATATGTATAGAGAACATGTCGGTAATATATATATATAATGTATTAGAATTTGTTCAAATAATAAATCTTTAAAAAATAGACTGTATGACTTTCTTTTGGAAACCAGAGACTTACAGTATTTCAGGGTAGCTACATTAAACAAGAGATGTTTGTAAAACACTTATGCCCCCCTCCCCCCAAATTGGAATTTGTCCAAGTCCAAAAGGGCATAGCTCTGTCAAAAATGGCACGATTGTACCCAAAACAGAACTTGATTAGATAGTCATCTGACAAATCTGTATACTAAATTTCATCTCAGTATGTGCAACAGTTGCAAAGAAAATGAATGGAAACTGCAAATAAAAGTCCAAGGGGCATAACTCTGTCAAAAATGATGCGATCTTACCCAAAACAGATCTTGACCTAGATATCAATGTTATATATTTGTATACCAAATTTCATTTCAGTATGTACAACAGCTGCAAAGAAAATGAACGGAAACTGCAAATAATTGAAATTTTCCTAAGTCCAAGGGGCATAACTCTGTCAAAAATGGTGCGATCGTACCCAAAACAGAACTTGACCTAGATATTCATGTGATATATAAGTACCAAATTCCATTTCAGTATGTGCAACAGTTGCGAAGAAAATGAACGGAAACTAAGTGGACCGACAGACCGACCGACAGCAGCAAAGCAATATGCCCTCCCTTCTTCGAAGGGGGGCATAAAAAGAGGACTTTGTTAATTCTTTCCTTCATCTATAAATATGGTCAGCACCTTCTTTATTGTGTTCTTCACAATAAAACGTTAGTTGTTACCTTTGTTAATAATCAAAAATTAAGAACTATTTAGTCCAAATATTTGGAAGCTTCTTTTAAAAATCATTTATCCCTGAGGTAGGTTTGGGTCCTTTTAAGACTCTTCTACATGTACTGCCTTTTAATGGTGAATATATGAAGTAACTTTTATCTCAAAGATATCACATGTGGTGCAACTAAAGCAAAACCTCAAAATAAAAACAAACAATAAATGAATGCACTTGCTGTTTTAATTCATGCAGATATTGATGTTGAAATTCATTTTAACATTTCATCCTAATCAAAATAAAAAAAAAATTAATAAAAAAAGATAGCAAAAAAGTTGTAACCACTTTGTATAAATAATTCATGTTTCATAAACATAAGAAATGCCCCAGTCAACTCTTGGAGAGACTGTCGGCTTTCCTTGCTTATTACTTTATTATATAAAATATGAAAACAGATTTGTTCAAATTTGATAGCACTAAAATATCTGATATTTTCATTGTTGTTTTATTACAAATTAAATTTGCATAGATCTCAAGTATGGTATGCTCTCATCCAAACAATAAATTAAACCCGAGGTTTTTTTTGTGAGTGTTTTGTCTGTCTTCAGTCGTAGGAAAATCTTTCAGTTCAATAGGACCACAACTTTTTCGATAGCATGTGCTGGTACAATCTAAAGCTCTTATCAAGAAAAAGGACTACATAAATGCATTAATAACTGGTTGGTAATACACAAAAGTTGGCTGTTGTTTCAACAAACCAGGTGTTAACACGCGTAAAGAATTATTCCTGCTGCTCGGTCTTCTCGTCAGTCTGTTCCTGTGTCGGTTCAGGAGAATGGCCGCCCTCATATTCTCTATCATTCTCTCCTTCACCCTACAAAGAACAACCAGACACACTATCCTTAAATTCCATGTTATAGATTCTTGCTTTTAGATTGTAAATATACATGTATTAATTTTACATATGTAAAAGAAGGTACCATGAACACTAAGGAATATGTTCCTACATGTATTTTCATTAGTGAACTCTTCAAAATTCGAGAGGAGTTTGGTCGTCTGACTTGTACAGCATGGCCTTTCAGATAATATAAAACATGCCAATCTAAATCCATTTTTGAATGTTAAATGTATTTGTCATTTCAATTAAAGAATAGAAGACAGGGATTTTCCACTGCTCCATATAGGGCCGAATATGGGCCCCATTCCCAATTGCAAAATCACTCCATTTTTCCCAAAAAAGAACACCATATTGTTAATTTTTGAAAAATTCATGTAAAACAAACATGGTCAGGTTTGAACTCTAAATGAAATGAACAAAAGTTTTGGAACTAATAACTAAAATTTTATAATAATTAGTGACAATAGTCTGTTCTCTGAATTATAGTTGCATAAAATCAATTTTATTCATTATAATTTTTTATTTCTTGAAAGACATCTTGCTGTAAAATTTACCAAAAAGTTGTAAAATTTCATTTAATTCCCATATACATGTACATTTTCCGACTTTTTCACAAAAAAGCTCACAAAGAAAGATAACTCTTCCATACTGAAAATAAAACATGTCACCACCAAATCTAGAGATATTTTAAATATTTTAAATATCTAATGTTTGGGCTCATGAAATACATTAATCAAGTTAAAACTGCTGACAAAAATCAAAATTTTAGCAGAAATGTATGGATTCTAGGTCCTTGGACCTTTTGTTTAATGCTCAACTCAATGTAAATTCTATAAACCCAATTCACAGGGAGATATTTTGTTCTAATAAGTAGGACTGTGATGTCTAACTCACCCTCCTTCTGTAATACCCTCCTCTTCCACGGCCACGACCTCTACCGCGACCTCTGCCACGCCCCCTGCCGCCACGATAACCATACTGTGGAGGGCCATCATATCCATCATTCTGTTAAAAATAATCCAATACCTCAGAAAAGAATGAAAACTCTTGACAAAGGATTACACAGTAAGCAGTATTAAATTGTTTTTGTGTAATCTTGTACATGAGTTTCAAAAATTTTTAACACTTAAACTTTGCAGAAAATTGCTAAAGAATGAAAATTTTCTCTGGGAAAAAAAAGACAAATACCATATCTAGAAAAAATTCTCAATTTTTTTTTAAGGGATACTTGCATAACAGCGTTAATTTAGAATGCCAGTGGTAAAAGTTGGTTTCCTTATACAATAAATTCTTAATTTCTTTGTTAGTACAGGAATTCAGATAAGTAAATGTTTCTGCAAAAGCTGGAACAATAAATTCCATGGTTATTTCTAAGACCTGGTGCTGGGGAAGTTCCTTGCTTATAATGACATAATCCCCCACCTATCTTGGTATTCCCCCTTAATTCCCCATTTTGGGAGGAACGCCAGACCCCCTTCTACTTTTTAAATGTTCCCTGCTATTTTACTTCTAAGAAACCCTGAAATTTCATTTGGATTTCACAGAAAAGAAAGGAGAAAACCTTCACTCACAGTTAGCATAAGTTAGTTAATTCAAAATTTTCCTTTTCCAGTTATGCTTGCAATAAGCAGCGTCTAAGCATTCATACAATATGTATAATTTCTCTGCAATTGGAATTACGAACTTAAGTCATGTAAAACTGGACAACCTGGCCATAGTATCTTCTGTATCCTCTCCTCCAGTAGGGTCTTCTAAACTGAGGCTGGCGACCTGGGCCGTCCATCATGGCATTCTGATATCGTGGTGGTCTGCGAGGACCGCCACCGCCACCATTACCCTGGTAGAAACCTCGGTAGAAGCCTCTACCCCCTCTGTAGTAGGGGCGGCGGGGAGGAGGTCTTCTTCCCTGATCATCTTCTTCTTCTGCTCCCTCCTCTCCCTCATCACCCTGAAAAAGACAACACTCCAGATGAGTATGTGACTGATATAGGAATGCAGCATTCTAAACAAAATCCAATCAAAATTGTTATTATAGTAAATTTATAACAATTAAAAAGATAAAAACAATCCTCCTCTCACCTCATGTCTAGGACGGCCTGGGCCACCTCCACGTCGACGTGGGAAGTAGCGTCGGAAACGGCGACGATCAGCGGCGTATTTGCTGCCTTGTACATGGGTACCATCAGGTCCTGTTACATTGGCAGCTTCATTGCCCTACAACAAATCCCAGAATTAAAATCATCAGGATGCATATTTCAGTTAATTTTTATTGAAAATTTTTCATATCACAACTTTCTACATACCTTTTCACCTTCCACAACATCAAATTCAACGGCCTCTCCATCCCCAACACTCCTTAGGTATTTCTTGGGATTATTCTTGATGATGGCAGTCTGTAATCACAACAATACAAGAATTTATTTTATTCAATTTAATCTCTCTTTCTCTCTCTCTGGTATATTATTCATGGACATGCCAGTACAAAAAAGGGTATAACACTGATCTGGGTTTGTTATTTTTAAAAGAGTTTATTAATGAAGAACCTGTTGAAACTTAAATACAAACCTGGTGGACAAACACATCTTCCTTGGTGTCATCCCTGTAATAACAAAATTAAATTTTACTTCAAGTAAAACTATATACATAACATAAAAACACATGCTGATGCTTACAAGCTCTTATACTATTTTTATCTGGAACATGTAGAATGAGATGAATGTCCAAGACTTATGACTTCATATATTTTATTAACCATGAAAGAATATATGTGAAAGTTTGATTATTCTTTCTTCTTTAAATTGAAATAATGCAATGCAACCGGACTAAAATAAATTGCGATTCGAAAAACAAAAGACTGGAGTTACATATCACAAGTACATACAGTTCATATCACAAAGTCAGTGAGGCGTGACTGCAAGTTCTTGCTTGCACAGTGTGCACGTGTATAAAAATAAAGAGCAAACTGTTTTTGTAGGATCAAATACCTGTTAATGAAGCCATATCCGCTTTTCACGTTGAACCATTTTACGGTTCCAGTGATTTTGTTAGCTGAAAATGGACAGAAACAAATAATCAATAAACTATAAAGGAAGTCAAACCACGTGTAGGACAAACAATGTTTAGAGAAAGGGTTTTCTGTGTTTTGTTCTGCATTTACGACCATCCACCCAATATAATGATAACATTTTACGATAGATTCAACAGTTTTATTTTTGTTTTTGTTGCTGTTTTACTTCTTCAGCTGGTTTTGCATAAATTTCGGAAATCACGCTACACGAGGTGACCTACATACAAAACAAATCCTCGTCGGCTAAAATGTGTTTTTTATGAGTTTAAAATAAAAAGGTCAGTACCTATGATCTTCTTCTCAACCTCGGCCTCTTTCTCCGGTTGGTCTTCGGAGTCGGACATGGCCTCTGATGGTAAAAAGGTGTTAAAAAGCGTCCGGTGGTTGGTGGACTTCCACTCTGTTTTCCCTTTGTTCGCTCTCTGCAAAGATGGCCTCCCCCAAGGCGAGCCCAACGCCGCTTTGTAGCAATTTGATTGGCTGATTTTACATTTCTTGTGTTTTCATTGGTTGTTACATATAAGTAAAAGGAATATAGATTTACGAATCATGAATGTTTCTAATATAATTTATTGAGACCGGTAAATATGAATATTAACCAAATATGGTTATGGCTATTTATTATTGTTGTTATTTAGGCCTATATTTGCGAGTGTCTCCTCACGCAGCGGTGAAAAGGTCGTGCAGGCGGGCGGCTTATATATTGGGGGGGGGGGGGGGGGGGTTAGCCTCAGAACAATCTCTGGCCTCAGAACTGTTAACTCTCTGCTTGAGAAAATTCGGACAGATAAAGCAGAGAGCTACAGATCCAGGCGTTATAAAAACCTTCGATTTACGTCGACGATTTTTCGTCGTTCACTTCTGTTTTTTTTTTAAAATTTTTATTTTATACTTTCCTCAGCTTTAAAAATGTTATATAATAAAGACGAAAAACATTTTGTTCTTTATTGTCCAAAATATGATCAACTTAGATGCAATTATAATGATAAATTTAATGTAAACACATACATTAGTGATAAACCCATTAGAAAACTTGTCAATCCTATGTACAAATATTTCAACTGCTAGAAGGATATGTTGTTTCTTGAAAAAGTGCTTTGACATCAGAAAAGAAAATAAAAAATGAATGTTAATATTGAGAAATACACAATTTTGTTCACCTCATATTTCTCACTTTGTATATGCATGTATTAATTGTGTTAATTTGTGTTATGTTATTAATGTTCATGACTGTATGCCGACATGGTAATTGTCAATAAAGTGAATTAAATTGAATATAATAATTAATCATACATTCAATCTCAATTCCTGATAATTTACTTACCTTTCAACGCTATAGTACAAATGGTTCGTGGTTACGGACGTCGAAATGGAACTCTTTTAAACCGACATTACAATACTATTTACAGGACTGTTTTGGACCGTTAAAAGGCAAATAAAGTATAACAGGGCCGTAACTACCATTGAGGCAACGGAGGCAATTGCCTCCTCTAGATTTTTATTTATTTTTTTTTTTTTGGAAATAAGAAACACAACACAATCAGCTGGATCAAGATTGATCATTTATTTGTTTGATTATAGCCACCTGAGCAATTTTTCAGCTATCCAGTGAGTGTCAACATTACCTATGCTCGGCGTTTAGGGCCTTTGAGCAGAGAGGGATCTTTATCGTGCCACAGCTGTGACACGGGGCTTCGGTTAACTTTATGCGGTCTCATCCGAAGGACCAGTCCCCATGTCCCATAGCGAAATTCGAACTACGGCGATCGATCATTTTAGAACTGCATTTAGTACAGTGAAAACTATTCAGAATGAATCGACGGGTACGTAAGATCCATCTTGCGTTCTCTGGTGATCAAAGCTAGACGATCACCGTTAAGCCTTCAGACAATATTGAAAATGGGAATTACGATTGAAATTTATTTGATCATATCTATCCAAAATAGTACATAAATAGGTAATATAATAAAGTGGTAAGCATTCTCAAAATCAAGGAAATGGTCCAAAATTGAGCCGTTTGAAGCAATTTTTAGGGGGGCTTCGCCCCCCACAACCCCTTATCTTGGGGGCCTCAATCGGCGGCCCCCAAACCCCCGCCTCCTCTATCTTTTACCCCTTGTTACGGCCCTGTATAAGACACCAGTCTAAAAGCCAGAGAAAGCTTAAACTACACGAAATAAATACCTAAACTAGCGACAAAAAATCGTCGGCGTAAATCGAAGGTCTTTACAACGCTTGGATCTGTAGCTCTCTGCTTTATCTGTCCGAATTTTCTCAAGCAGAGAGCTATAGTTTTGCAGTTAGGGGGTGGGGGTGGGGGTGGTTGAGTCAGAGGAATCTCGGATAAGTCCTTCTCCTTTTCCTTTTTGACGAAGGACCTAGTCCTCGATAGTTTTTCGTTTTGCATAAATACTAACATATATACTATAATATTCATTTATTTTTTTCTTCATTTTGACATATGAAAGTCCTTTTAAGTTTAAGTTAATTCATAATTTTACGCGTTCCCAGTAACTTTTGCGAATAAACAACCAGGGAAACTTTCGCGTATTACGCGTAACTTTCGCGAAATAACGCGAAATAATTAGCATTTTATTTCAAAATCTCTACTATATATTAATAGCGAAGAATCGGGGATGCATAGTTTTTGCCCTGTCCGTCTGTTTGTCCGCAAAAAATTTTAACCTTTCCCATAACTATAGCTTTTAGTTTTCAAAGGTGTATTCCTTGTGAAAAGACCTTTCTTTCGATACACCAAATTTGACCTTTTGACCTTGACCTTGGAGTTTGACACACTTTACACCAAAGTACATGTACCAAACTTTTACTTTGGTCATAACTTTTGAACGGTTGGTGCTCATACTTCACACATGTATTCTTTGTGACAAGACCTTCCATAGGATACCAACAATTTTGACCTAGGATATTAACCTACTAATAAAAAAAAATTGAACCTTAGCTAATTAAGGGGTCGCATTGAAATTTTTCATACATATAGACTAAAAAAACCCTAATATTGGGAATAAAATTTGGGAGGACTTGGCCTCAGATCCAGCCTCAAATCCTGCTTACCATGCACGCTAACACGTGCCCGCTACATTATTATCTCCTCGTAACAGAGTTGGAAAAGATATACATGTAGTATTGCGCTTGTGTGTGTGTGGGGGGGGGGGGTTGTCCTTGTGTGCGTAACGGAAGAGTTTGTCCTTGAGTGCATAACAAAAGTGACGTAATTTACATCGGGATCGATGGCGAATGCTGCCTTGAATTAGTCTATATTAGATAGTAGATAATAGCTCTCAATCTTTTTGTATCTCGACACCTGAAATTCAAATTTTTGATAATCATTAAAAAATAACTCTAGTTAAGTATTTGTAAACATAAAAAATGGATATATAAATTTGAAATTTTTTTAGCTAAAACTGTGTCCATGTCCCTTTAAACAGCACCGGACATTTCACAACAGATCGCAATGCCGGGGTATGTCATTGGACTGAACAGCTGAAGTGGTGCAATAAATGAATACATATACAATAGTTAAGTTCATCTAGAATCAAGATTTTCCAGTAAAGTTTTGCTTTAACCACATCTGAATTAAGGATAAAAACGATAAAAATAAAATATGAAATGTGTATTTTTGATTTATCATAAAAATGATTAAGTAGATATTTGATAGAAAATATAAACTTTCACATAAACCCTCATCGTCGGAAACCCACGGGTGATCTCGTCTTTGTGATAAGTAAAGACGAGATCACCCGTGGGTTTCTGACGATGATAAACCCCGGCCCATTTACCAAACTGTTCGATGCAATACATGCCGGGTAGTGTGTATACATAAAATGTATACAAAAGCGTTGCGCTATTCAACCAACGGCCAGTTGCATTTGAACAATGACATATGCTAGGTCCAAGACTTTACCAACCTCAGATTATTGTCCCCTGCTTTCGGGAAAGAGAGAGGACATTAAATCTAATTCGTCTGTCCGTCTGTCAGTCTGTCCGTCCGTCACAAAAACTTTATCCTCGGTCATAGCTTTGAATGAGAAGATATAAGGTTTTCATATTACACATGAATATTACCTGTGACAAGACCTTTCTAAATACACTATGAATTTTCTCCCCTTGACCTTGAAGTTTGACCTACTTTTAAAAAATAACATTACTTTGAATTAACCATAACTTTTAAATAAGAAGAGATAGGGCTTTCATATTACACATGTAAATTATCTGTGACAAGACCTTTCCAAATACTCTATGATTTTTTACCTCATGACCTTGACCTTTAAGTTTTGCCTACTTTTGAAAAACTTTGACCTTGGTCATAACTTTTGAATGAGAAAAGATAAGTCTTTCATATTAAAGCTGTATAGTGTCTGTGACAAGACCTCTCTAAATAAACCATGATTTTTGACACCATGACCATGACCTACTTATAAAAAATTAAACATTACTTTGAATTGGCGGTTTATTCCCACTTAGCCAACATTTTGAAAAATCATATTCCCACATAGCCAACATTTTGATTTTTACACCTGAGTGATTAACAGGCTATAGTCTGTTTTCTGGTATGCATATCAATTACCTGAGACTTGTTTCCTTTGAAAATAAAAACAGTGTATAAAATATACCAACCAGAGTTAAAATTTGAGTCAAAATAAATATAAAATTAGAGAAAAAAAATTAAAGTTTATAATTTAATAATGAAAAAAAGCAGCAAAATTTAAGCAGAGAATTAATTAATTCAAAAAAGTAATTAATTTAAATTTATGAATAGAATATTAATATCATATAAGTTAAAAAAAATAGAAACAAATATATTTTTTGGACCACACAGCATATTTTTATTGGAAAATAAAGAAAAACAATTAAGTCACTTTGAAGAAATAATTATGTATAATCATTAAAAATGGTTGTGTTTTTACTAGTAAAAGTGCTTGTACATAACATTACCGATACACAAGTTAAGTATATAATTACTTTATAAATGATTATAATTGAATGTTTTTTAAAGAATCTTCTAAACTAGATCAGCATAATTATTATCAATAATTTACAGAATCAAAAGCTTGCAAATTTTGAGATCTTAATTGTTTTCTGGACTTTCCATTAAAAAAATCACTATCAAAAAAAAAGAAAGAAAGAAAGAAGGAAGAAGAAGAAAATGGCTAATCTTCAGGTGCAAGTCAACTTTCTCGAGAACGGCAGAGGAGGATTCTATCTTCTTCATGGTGGATACAAGTATTCCGTGAGGACAACACGCAACGACCGAACATATTGGAGATGCGTGAGAAGGGCCGCCGTCTTGCCTCTTGTTCCAGCTCCCCGTGTTGAGGACGTGTGGTTCCAAGCCTTAGAGGACCATGATGACAACACCGACGCTGTGATGCGATTCAAGGACTACGTGACCGAGACCTGGGTTGAAGGGCATCTTGACATCTCAAACCATTTTGATCACGACGGACATAGAACCACCAACACAGTTGAGGGATGGCACCACAAGTTCAACAGAATGTGCAGACGTGCCCATCCCAACATCTTTGTATTCATCGAGATGCTCCAAAAAGAACAGGCGGCAAATGAGGCAAAGATCATCCAGATTACAGCAGGAGGAGTCGTGCGTCCCAAAAAAAGGAAATACCGCCAGCTGGATTCACGTCTCCAGCGTCTCAAGGAGAGACTGCGTCAAGGACAAATGGACATAGTGGCCTATGCTGACGCAGCCTCACATCTCATTCATTTTGAGTGACAATATGCAAGTGATTGTGGTGAAATAATGTAGAAACTAGATTTCATTCATGTGAACATTGATTTTGAATCCATTGTTTGTTTTATTTATGTCTTATTTATTGCTGTGAGATGTAGAAAAAAAACTCATAATAAAATATTATTACTTTACACAAGCGTTTTTCTTGAAGGTTATATTTGAAATATAGTAGTAAACATGGTAAATGTATCTCTAAAAAAATTAATTTAAAATCAGTTTCATAATTATATTTCCAGGATGAATTTGAAGTGTAGTAGTACATATGCATGTATCTCTTAAAAATAATTTCACTTGGTTTTCATATTTATATTTCCAGATGAAAAAAAATCAATGTAAGCATTTATCATTTTAGGTTTACATCAATGCCCAGGTATAATTAAATATAATTCTTTAGAGAAAGAGAATTTCTTATTTATTTTATGTTTGAAATAAGAAGACATCTAAAAAGGTTTTAAAAATAATGAAATTTTTCAACAAAAAAAAATCATAGTTTTAAATTAAAAAAAAAAATTAATATTTTTATATGAACAATTTAATATTTATGAGAAGAAAACAATTAAATATTTTATATTATCCTAATAAGAATTATTTACTATTTATTCAGCATATAGCTAAAACAGACTATAGCCTACCTGTAATTAATTTCTTTTGTTCTCCACCTGCACCCCATTCCCACTTAGCCAACACCGACTTACCTGTGTTTTACCTGTATTTTTTCAAAATGTTGGCTAAGTGGGAAGACACCGAATTGGCTATAACATTTGAATGAGAAGAGATAGGGTTTTCATATCAAACATGTAAATTACGTGTAACAATTAAGACCTTTATAAATACACTATGATTTTTGACCCCGTGACCTTACAATGAAGTTTGATATACTTTTAAAAAAGATTAAACATTACTTTAAAAAAATCGGTGATAAATTCTGAATGACATATGATAGGGCGTTTATATTTGACACAATATTCCATAAAATAAATGACATCTCACCCACAAAGACACCGAACGCAGGGGACCTCAATTCTTTGAATTTGCTTGTGATTTTGTGTTTCTACAGTGAGTCTAACGGACACAAATGAATATAAGACATCCATTCGTCAGAATTTCGTCAATTTTCTGAGATCTTATTTTATAATCTTATTTCAAATGCTACAGAGATTAATTGTTAAAAATGGCACCGGAAAGGGATGTGTGATATTTTCGCCGAAATTCATTATAATAAAGTTTTACTTTGGGAAAAAGAAGATGGGTGAATAAGGCGGGCAGAATGCCTATAGTGCGACAGATAAGAAGTGAAAATTTTAATCTCAATTGAATCCAAATTTTACTTGATATTTCATCTAATATTAAAGTATACTTTATGTAAAATCTCTAAAAATTTACAAAAATCTCACAAAGACTGAAAACATTTGCCTATGAAAAAGCTTACACACACTAAAAAGAACAAAAAAAGATCATTTTCTCATACTTAAACAAACTTTTTCAATATGGGTGGGTCTTCTCTCCATTTTTTTGAAAGATGATCCTAAAAGTGTGCAATAGAATACACATTTTTTGGTTTTCAAAAACATGGAGCTAAGACCCACTATACCTTCAAAGTACACTTTTATGACACAACATTAGCATCTTTCCGAGAAATACTTCAAGTCCATTAAGTCGGGGGTCATGTCACAAACATGATTTATTATTGTTTTACAAACAGCGTGACAGTTTGCTTTATAGGGCGTGCTAAACTTTTGTATGCTGATAATCATTTTACTCATCGATTGGATGTTTGATTTCAATGGAATCAAAAATACTTTGCATATGAAACAGAGAACCCAACAATACCACTGACAATACTGACCAATCGTATTGAGTCACATGTTTACTAGCATGCAGTAAACAACAGCAAGTTTTACAACCTACAATGATGATATTGATAGCTGCATAGTACAACAGCAGCAGAGTAGCCTTACTAATTCTATTCTTTGAATTTTCTTGTTCGTATGTAAAACCATCCGGTCAAATCATAACAAATATAATACATGTTTTTTTGAGGACAGAGAACGGGCTTTGACTGACCACGTGTTGCTGGTGAGTAGAAATGCCGCACTGGTGAACAATCATTCATTGTGATTGGCCAGTATTCTCAGGATATTGTTGTATTCTGAGTTTCATATTCAAATTGGTATTGATTCCATTGAAATAAGCATCCAATCACTGAGTAAAATGAATATCAGGTCACAAAATTTTAGCACGCCCCATCTAGCTAACTGTCACGCTGTTTGTAAAACAATAATAAATGCCTAAAGTCACTATGAGTGGTTTAGCATAGTGGTTAAAGCGTTAGTCTCAAAGCAGTATGCTATTGATACGTCGGATTTTTATTGCTAGGGTTCGAATCCCACGAATATCATCTAATAATTTTATGAAAGAAAATTTTTTACGAGATTTTTTCTCCCTCAGAAAAGTTTGTTTTTGTCATAATTTCAAAAATTTCATTAATTAGAAGTTAATTTAAATAATCAATTTACACATTTAATATGATTTCTTAATATCTGACCCTATAGGCATTCTGCCCGCCTTGTTCGCCCATCTTCTTAAAAAGTGACGGTATAAAAGATTGAGAAAACTCAAAATTGCACCTTGTGATGGGCTCAGTTCAAATAGCCTTTCGTTTGCAATTGTAATGAATTAACTAGCTCTCATGTTGTAAATTGTAGTCATCATGTATTCAAATTTTGCAATAACTTTCCCTAGTAAATTCAAAGTTTACAACTTGATAGCATATAGCTCATAAAATCAAATGAAAACAAATAAGAAAAGAAATTTAGTTGTACGCAAATGTAGCGCTTTTCAAAAGCAAAAACTTTCGCAATAAACGCGGAAGTTGTACACTTTAATTCTGTTCGCGAAAGTTTCGCGTTATAAAGAAAATTTCGCGTTTATTCGCGAAAGTTATGCACGTTATGCAATAATCTTTCCTACGATAGAGCAAAAAAAAAAAAAAAAAAAAAAAAGGGAAGGGGGAGATTTCAAACTGTGGTGCAGGATTCAAGAGGTGTTGCCCATTTTGTAAAGGGGAGGTGACATTGAAAATTTTCCGAAATATATAGTCTACGCGCCCCTCCCCCCCAATAAAACCCTAAAAACAATTAGTATTGCATGGGGATAAAATTGGGGTGAGACAAACCTCGGATCCAGTCTCAAACCCTGCGAACACGTGCACGTGCCTGCTACACCTCGGGTGTCATGACAAATAATATATCCCCCCCCGGCGCTCTCATACATCTTTAACAAGATCGGATATTTCACAACAGATAGCAATACCGGGGTATGTCATTGCACTTAAGTTGTGCAATAAATGGATACATAAAGTATTTAAGTTCATGTAGAATTATATTTTCCAGTACGTTTCGCTTTAACTTCCACTAAAAAAAAAAATAAATAAATAAAATAAAATAAATGAAATGTGTATTTTGGGTTGATCATAAAAAAAATTAACTAGAAATATGATAGAAAATCAAAACTTTCACACACACCCGGCCGGCCCCTGCCATTTACCTATTCATAACTGTTCTCTATCATTTAAATAATTACATATCAATGATGCAATACATACTATTCCATTCATTCCATCTTTATTTCCTCTTTTCAGAGATTTCACAAATCATACAGTTTTCATGTTATAGATCATGTTATATCAGACATATCATATTAAAATTGACAACAAAAAAAGAAAGAAAAAGAAAGGTGTACACAACGTATTTACAGAATCAGTAATAAACTGACCAAAAAAAAAAAATATGTTTGAGTGGAAGCTCTGCTAAAAAATGCACAGGCTTCACAGATAAACCTGGCACAACAACATATAAATTCCTTTTCTTCCTGCTTGTCCCCAAACGTTAATGTTGGGAGACCACCTAGTAATGATATATAGAGATCATGATCACGCATATGAGTTAGTTCTACATATAAATGAACATCAAATTTGTTTACTACAAAATCAAAAAATAAGTTTCTAATTTGTTCTGTGGCGGAACACCACAACACGGCATGTTGGAAAGGATCGCTATATATGTTTTTACAGAGAACACACGTATGTTGGTTTAACTGAGGTATAACAGTCCATAATTTTGCGACGAATTTAATTAGTTTGATTTCTTCAAAGGAGAAGTCGAATTTGTATATTCGCGCCGGGTGATGCTTCGATGTAAATCTCGGAACAATATAAAGTCCCTGTCTGTTTCCGTTCTGCTTGTCCAGGATACGCTTTGATAATAACTTATGGATTGACGAACGATGTTTTTCCATGCAGGTTTACCAGGGAACGTTGCTTCGTTGATAAATATCTGCAGGTAGCTTAAAAGATTGTACTTAACTAAAATCTGCCAGATGTCCTGTACAAAACCAGTGATCAGTTTTCCTTCATTCGTTATAAAGTCAAATAGTCTGAACAAGAAAATGTGTTTTGATAATACGTCCAATTTAAGGTTACACAGCTTCCCGAAAAACAAGAGTTTACGTTTATCAATTTCTGCAGATATGGGATAGATTCCGAGCATGCTTTCACACATGTCGGAACGGGTGTTAATTTTAAAATTTTGAATGTCTTTCACAACAAAGTGTTGAAACCTGTTTAATAATTGTAGGTCTGCTGATTTTAAATTGTTCCAAAGTTCACAGCCGTACAGCAAAGATGGAAGTACTACTTTTTTGTAAAGGCTGGCAAGAGTTACTGAGTTTGAATTGCTTGACAAATCATTTCGGATAGCAAAATACGATTTTCTAGCTTTGTTACAGCTTGCCTGTGTTCTTTCTATAGATTTGAATCTATTTTGTTGAATGATTCCTGAGTGTTAATTTATAATTGTCATTTAATGGAATAATTTCGTTTCCTAATATCCAAGGCTGTAATGTTGTTGGGATCTGTTTGCCAAATATGACGATACTGGATTTTTGAGCATTAAAAGAGAAACGCCAGAGACATGAGTAGTTATAAGCACAATCTAACATTTTTTGTAAACCAGT